GTGATGTTAAAAATTAATTTAAAAAAATAAAAAATTATTATTTTAATATACTCTCAAATAAAAAATACTTTAAAAATTTTATTTTACTATATTTTTAAATAGGTTGTGAGTGGATGAGCTTACACAAAATCTAATGTAACCCGTTTCAAACTAAATCACCTGTGTTCATAAAAAATCTAATCAGGATGTTATAAACAATCAGATATTTGTTTGTTGATTTTTTAAATTTAAATATTAAAGTTAGATATTTTAAAAAAATATATTAATATTTTTTTTATTTTTTAAAAATTATTTTAAAAATCAATATTAAAATAATTTAAAAATAAAAAAAATATATTAATTTTAAATAAAAAAAATTAAAATTTTTTTAAAATACTTTTTAAACTTAATCTCAAACATCCTTATACGGTGCTTGTTGATAGCTATTGATCACCTTCCAAGATAGCATTCAATGACGAGCTGGCATGTGTCAGTCTTCTATATGATTTTCTATTTTTTTTACATCTTAAAATGTGTATTATCCTTCACCTATTAAATTTAATTTATTTAATTTTTAATTTTTATATTTTTTCATTTTAATTTTTATTATTTTAATTTTAATTTAACCTCTAACCATTTTTAATCTCTTTTTAAATTAAATTTTTTTATTTAACCTCTAACCATTTTTAATCTCTTTTCATTTTAATATATAACAAAGAAAGAAAAAAATTATATCACTTTTAAGCAAGTTACAAGACCCATTGCCATTCCTGAGAGGCACTGTTAAATAAGAGAGAACGGAGAAACTTGTGAATTATCTGCGAGGGGTTTGAGAAAAAATCGGGCAGCCCAAGGTAAAGAAGAGGGGAAACACTAATATCAACCAAACAAAATTAGTAATTGTCTGCAAAGGAAATGGTTTCTGTATCAACTTGGTTCCGTTACATAGCCAACAAACTCGACTACTCTGTTTCTCTCAGCTATAAGGTTCCCTCTCTGTCTCCGCCTCTTTTTTTTCCTCGCATTTTCTAATGATTTCATTTCTTGCTTTAATGAGTGTTTGTGAGTATTCTCATTTATACTTTGTTTTGATGATTTTCTGCCTTGTATTTGGTTTCTGGGTTTTGGTGGCTCAATTGCTTGTGTAAATGCTTTAACCTTGTCAGAAAGATTTCTTTTTGCTTGATGGGTTTTTGTTTTGTTGATCTTGATCAGGGGTTTACTGGCGATGGGAATTTCAATGCCATTTCTCTTTTATTTTTTTATGATTTGCACTTCTTTGGAGACTAAGCTTTGTTTCTTGGCTATTATTTCATTCAGATTTACGTGCTCCATGTCTTTTACTTATAAGAAATATTTGCTCTGGACTTGTTCATTTGGTGCCTATGAGGATGTATGTGGGAACAATGCTTTGACTGGGAAGCTTAATTATGATATTGTGTTGCGGTGACGAGAATTGTGCTTGATTTTTGTTGTTAAACGAACTAGTCCTCAAATTGGGAAAGATTTGTGTCTAGTATTATAAGGCTCCTCGGAGTTGTTGCCACATGCTCTATTCATTGTATTTTCGGATTCTTCTATTGCTTTGTTTTGTATTGGTTTTTGAATTGACAACTCATCATATGATATCCACGCGCACTTCTTCATTACTTTGCTGCTGTTCCTACATCCATATTTGTGGTTAAAGTAAGGATCTTTGAACTATTTTTATATGATTGTTCTGACATAACCTTAAACTTGTTGCAGAGCTATAAGGGTGGCTTAATCAATGATAAAGAAGTCGTTGATTCAGTTTGGAAAAATCTACTTCAGGGAAAGCTGACTTTTTTACACTTGAATAAAGGACAGGAAATGGCCCCAACAATTGGAGACCAGGGGGGTACCCTTCTTGTTCGCAAGTTACCATCTGCTGATCCAATGTAAGAATACTTACACATATGTGTGCGGGTCTGTGGTTTTTTATTTCTTAACCATCACAGAGAAGCATACTATTTGATAAATAATGTATCAGGCAATAGGAAAGTGACTGCATGTGGGTGATTCATATAGGCGATTCTAACCTGTCACTTGCCAGGTAGGATTTTGGTGTTTTTGTTGATTGCTGGTTGTAGGGCCTGCTTTTTAGATGCCTGCTTGCTAGAAAACTAAACGATACAGTTGAGAGTAAAAGTTACAGTGCTTGGAGGGCCATATGGTTTTCGAGATGCATGACACCCTGCCTGGTTATAATAAATCCTTGATAACATCTGTGTTTTAATTGGCATGCTGTTAGTAGATGTGCTGCTAGCTTAGTCATCTGAACTGAGCTTCTCTAAGAGGTTTTCTGTGTGAACTAGCTTTAAGGCTCATTCTTTTGGGATTTATGTAATCAAATCCCATTTGATGGCGAAGTATTTGGCTGCCAATTTTGTAAACTTGTGGATTCAAGTTGTAAGAGTTGACTTAACACACAACTTCTACTGCTATTGCTCAGGACCAGATACATAAATGTTTGCGTACAAGTGTGAGATAAGAGTCACCTTTATGAGAAAGTGATCAAGTGAGGAAGGAAGGTATATGCATGCAAAGACACACAATCCTCCAGTTTAAACCATTTGGTCAACAAGCTGACATTGTGATATCAGCCTTCTGTCCCTAATGCTTCCTCAACTTGTTCTGTGTAAAATTTTCCAACAAGAAAGCTTGAGCTATTTGGTAGAGAAGCCCAAGTGCCATATAAGCTACACCAAGCTTTACATATACAACAGCAAAAAAGAGGAACCATAAAAGCCTCTTATATATTCAGGTCTAACCAAACTCCATGAGCAATCTAGTTGACAACAATCATTGAAGCGAAACAGATGTTAGATTCCAATACCATGCCTTGGAATCCATCTAAACTTAAGCTGCTAGGTATAAAGCTGTATCAAACTTCATACATGACCATCCTAGGGTTATCAACAACAGAGATCTGTGCTAATGGCTGATGACTTTGATATGACTTGTTCAACTGAACCAATCTTTGGACTCACACTGATAGATATATTGATCTGCTTCCTCTTATGTAGTTACATTACAGGCTAAATTTTCACAAGCTATTGTGATGGTAGAATTCTTTATCTCTTCAATTCACACTATTTTTTTCTACCCAATGCTTCAATACTATCAATTTTATTTAGGTTGGTGGTGGATTTGTCCGGACCATTTTAGGCAACTCTTCCTTAGCTCATACTTGATAGGTATCCTTCACCTTTCAATGGGCGTGCTTGTTTTGGTGTAACAACAGAATATTTTGCAGTTATTTCCTATCATTTGGAAAAGATTTTACTGTCTTTCTCTAGAAATGTGGCACGGTCAATAGCCTAGGATAAAAAAGCGTACATATGCATACCCCTAGGAGAGAAAAGGATAGAAATTGTAAGAAGTATTTGTTTATCTTATCGAGGTTCAACCAAAATTCTCTTTATTTTCTACAAATGGGGATCATATATATTTTTTATTAAAGAAATGTGACTGAGCATTGTTTCATCCCATTCAGGTTCTTCCAATGCCATGTTCAATTACTGCAAATGAGGATCATTTTATATTTTTCATTTGTTATTGGCAACCTTGATACACCCTTTTTCATGCTTTATACGCGCGCTCGCGCGCACACACCTTTTGCTCTAAATAACATGGTGAGTAATAAGTCATAGTTCTTGGCAGGCGTGTTTTTGTCGGAGATGTAGTGCTTTTAAAGGATCCTGAGAAGTCAAATAACTTTCTTGTCAGAAGATTAGCTGCTATTGAAGGTTATGAAATGGCGTCTTCTGATGAAAAAGATGAGCCATTTGTTCTTGACAAGGATGAATGTTGGGTATTGGCTGACAATGAGAAGCTGAAAGCCAAGGTACATGCTACTTTGACATCATAAAAATAGGATCTACATAGGCTAATGGATTGTTCGATCTGTTCTCAATAGGATCTACATAGGTTGATGAATTGTTTGATCTGTTCTCTTATCACATCTTTTACCAAAGTTAACTAATAATGAAATTTGCATATATATATATTTCCAAGGATGCCTAAACCATCAAGATAACCAAGGAAACATATAGACATATGGTTTTGCCTGTGATGGGATTAGATATTGATTTCACAAAAAATTGAGGCTTCAAGAAACCTAGTCTTTTTGTCATGAAGGATGCATTGCACTGTAGATATCTAAATTAACCTAATTTCCTTTTCATCATTGGCACACTATATGCCATAACTAGGACACTATATTACCAAATGGGATCAATAATATTTGGACAGTTCCTTCTTGTTGCATGTCATTCAAATTAAGACTGGGCTCTATTGGTACTAATTAGGATGTCGGGCAGTGTCCCAGTTAGCCATTTATCACCAAGAGCGCTTTCTTATATTTTGT